CACCACGAGTCTGGCATCAAAAGGCTAGAGTGACTCAGAGTGACTCATAACCTGACAGCACCTGGGGAGCTGAGTTGTGGAGGGTTTCAGGTGCAGGAGGGGGAAGAACCTCATATTCAGGATAAAGCCTCTTACTAGGAATAAAGCCTCAGATAAGAAATAAAGCCTCATATTAGGGATAAAGCCTGGCTATTTTAGGGGCAGAGAAAAGGGAGCAAAGAGGAGAGTAGGAGTCCTTGCAGATAGTAACTGCTTTCAAGTGTCCCCAGCAGGAATATTCCTTTGTGGGTGTGCCGCAACAAGAAGGGGCCTGGTATCTGACCACCAAACAAATAAATGCCTTTGTTACTGTACGCCTTCAACCTTGTTTAAAGGGGAGTTCTTTTTCTGTGGGCTTTCAATTTTCTAGTAGTCAGAGAAAACAATTGATTCATTTTTACCAAGGTTCCCATTATAGCAAACTTAGAGAGTCTGCTTATTTCATCACGTAAGGACTGATTTTTTTTTCAGGTATCCTTGGTCTTTTTGTCTTTGATGGGTGGGAAATGATTTTGGAATGAGGTACTAGCGTTTGACATAACAGTTTTCTTTGTTTTCATTTCTTCTGTAGGTGGTGTTGCCAGGACTTATACAGATCAGTGTGTACAGATTCTAACAGAGTTGCTGGGGCTTCACCAAGAGCATATTACCACAGGTAATGCCTACTTTTGTAGGATTTTGTCAAGGGCTATGGTAGATACTCAAAACGTTTTTTGTTGTTGATTGAATAATGTAGAGGTTTAAACTTTCCCTTGCATCGTCATCTGTGGCTGTCAGGGAAGCATGCAGTCTATAGATCTGACAGGGAATTGTGTCCTCAGGCTGCCATGCGTCTGCAAGGCTGTCCTCTAGGGCAGGGTTCCCCAGCCCCTGGGCCGCAGATCTGTACTGATTGGTGGCCTGATAGGAACCAGGCTGCACAGCAGGAGGTGAGCAGCAGGTGAGCAGAGCTCCATCTTCTGTCCGATCAGCGAGGCATTAGATTCTCATAAGAGCAGGAACCCTATTGTGAACTGCACGTGCAAGGGATCTAGATTTCACACCCTTATGAGACTCTAATGCTTCATGATCCCTCCCCTACTCCTGCCAGACCCCCCTTCAACACCCCCCACCTCTGGTTTGTGGAAAAATTGTCTTCTACAAAATGGGTCCCTGGTGCTAAAAAGATTGGGACTACTTCTCTAGAGTAAGCCTGTCCAGAACGCAGCCCACAGGCCACATGCGGCCCAGGACAGCTAGTCACGTGGCCCCACAAAATCTTTTAACATCATGTGTTTCTTTAGCATTTATTTTCTTCGTGACCCCATGAGTAGTTCCATTTTTGAAGTTCACGGTCACGCCTTATTCATGACATCACTTTTTGGCAGCACATATATTTGTGAGCAGCTGTTTTCAATTATAAGCACATGAAGAACAACATTTGAACAAACATTTCTGACGAGCACCTTGAGAGCTCACTAAGAATTGCGAACACTTCTATCAAACCTGACATTGATAGATGAGTTTTCCAAAAATGAGGTCAAATTTCCCACTATTTTATATTGTTCTCATTTTTCTAAACCTTATAATAAAAAATAAAATAAGTCTTACTGTGTATTTACACTAACTATATTATATAATTTATGTGTAACCCAAGATAATTCCTCTTAAAGCCAAAAAGTTGAGCACCCCTGCTCTAGATAGCAATGACTTTGCTTATTTCCCTATCTTTACCCCTCTTCTTGCCCAGGTCATTGCATTTCTTAGATCATCATTGACTACCCCCCAAAACCTATTTTACAGAAATCCAGCCAGAAAAGTAGTCTGAATGCATGACTTTTCCTATGAGTTCTTCCTACATGGAGGTGCTAATCCTGTGCTCTTGTGCCTGGACTTGTAGCGGTGGTGCAGACGTTCCGAGACCTGGTTTGGTTGTGTCCTCAGTGTACTGAAGCTGTGTGTCAGGCCCTGCCCGGCTGTGAGGAGAATATTCAGGATAGTGAGGTAGACGTCATTCTCCTTTACTTTTAGGTAGAGGGGGACTGCTTGGGACTCTGCCCTTTGAAATGGAGTCTAATTATTCTTTCTACTCTGTCTGCAGTGGAAACTCTTAGAATGGATTGCTGCCTCAATTCTCTTTTGGATGTAGATGGCATATAAATGATAAAAACTGGATTTATCGATGGTTTTTATTACAAATACTTTGATAGTTTGATGCCATTGTTCTCTTGAACAATTTTGAGTCAGAGATTTAGAACATGGAGTTTTTAACTAGAATGAGAATCAGTCATTTGTGAAGTTTTTAATGAAGATTTAAGCTTCATCCCAGGTCTGCTGACTTAAATATTTAGGAGTGGTAGACCTAGACAGATATGTGTGTGTGTGTGTGTGTGTGTGTGTGTGTGTGTGTGTGTGTGTTGGGGTCTCACACTGTCACCCAGGCAGGAGTGCAGTGGCATACTCAAGGCCACCACACACCACAGCCACACAACCTGCGGGTTCATGCGATCCTTCCTCCTCAGTCTTCCAAAGTAGTTGGAACTACAGGCGCATGCCACCACGCCTGGCTAATTTTTTTATTTATTGTGGAGATGAGGTCTCGCCAAGTTGCCCAGACTGGTCTCAGACTCGTGGGCTCAGGCAGTCCTCTCACCTCAGCTTCCCAAAGTGCTGGGATTATAGACGTGAGCCATTGCGCCCATCCTAGACAGATATATTTTTAAGAAGCTTCACTGATGACTCTTATGTGCACTCTAGTAACCACTTTCATGAAAAATTTAGAGCAATTCTTTGAGTAGCTTCCATTGAAACACTAAACTTCAAATTGGGCCAGAGGCCTCAGAGCTGAGGAAATCTTATTTGCTTAATGGGCGTAGGTTATGGGAGTTTTGGGTTTCCTCTTGTGCATTAGGATTTTATTCCAGTTTGTTGTAGAGAGTATAGTAGGGGGAATCAATACAATGCAAGTTGGAGTAAATTTAAGTTTATACCTTTTCTGCTGGCACTAGGGGAAATGGCAAACCAATGATTGTTGACTGTCTCTTGTGTTGTGGACAGCCAAGTGTTGGACACCTGGTCTTACCTTATGCCCTAGGGGAAGCAGGCACTTATTTGGCTGCTTGGGGTCCATGGGGAAAGAATCCCCAATGCTCCCTATGTGTTGGAGGACTTCGTGGAGAACGTGAAGTCGGAGACATTTCCAGCCGTTAAGATGGAGCTACTCACTGCTCTGCTGCGCCTTTTCCTCTCACGCCCTGCTGAGTGCCAGGACATGCTGGGACGCTTGTTGTATTACTGCATAGGTGGGTTTTTCAGAAGGAAATAGTGCCTGCCATGGCCCATAGTAAAAGTTCTCGTAGCTTTCATTGTTTGGCGAGTCGTGTCTGGGACCCAATAAGAAAATGGTAATGCTTTCTAGGGTATCCTCTCCCCTTCATTTTTTTTTTCTATTATGGTTGGCACAAGGGTCGGAAGAAAGTATTTTTTTTTAACTCATTCAATCTGTTGTCTTACCTCAGAGGAAGAAAAGGATATGGCTGTACGGGACCGAGGTCTCTTCTATTATCGCCTCCTCTTAGTTGGCATTGATGAAGTCAAGCGGATCCTGTGTAGCCCTAAATCTGATCCATCTCTTGGACTGTTAGAGGATCCTGCAGAAAGACCCGTGAATAGCTGGGCCTCAGACTTCAACACGCTGGTGCCCGTGTATGGCAAAGCGCGCTGGGCAACTATCTCTAAATGCCAGGGGGCAGAGCATCATGTTCTAGAGCTCCCTAACACCGCATCCTTTGCCACATCAGGTAAAACTAGTTCCTACCTTACATCTTGTCAGGATAAGTCTGTGTCTTCTCAATGTTTGGTCGAAAGTAGAGTATCCTAGCACTAAATCTCAGACTGTCACCTAAGTTGGAGCCTTTGTGAGCAAGGGAGATGTGCATCATTGGTTATTTAAGCCATTTATTCAAAGGCAAAATCGACATTGTGCACTGCTGGGAATTCAGAGAAATTAGCTCCTACAGAGTAAGAACGTCTCTTACACAAGCTTTCTGACTCTTTTAGGACCCCTGATTCCTGAAGCGAACAAGGAGACGGTGCAAGAACTTCCCGAGTCTGGGGCTCTCACGCTAGTCCCCAGTCGCCATCTTACTGCAGAGTATTTTGAGAAAACCTGGCTGAGCCTCGAGGTTGCTCATCAGCAGGTGCTGCCTTGGCAGGGAGCAGCCCAGCCTGGCGCCCTCCAGATGGCTCTTCAAGTAGTGAACATTCAGACCATGGCAATGAGCAGGGCTGGGGCTCAGCCGTGGAAAGCATACCTCGGTGCCCAGGACAATACTGGCTGTCTGTTCTTAGCAGAACTGCTGTTGGAGCCTGAGAACTCAGAAATGCACATCTCTGTGAAACACAGTGAAGCACAGACTGAGACACTGACCAGCTTTATTTCTGTATTAGAAACTGTGATTGGAGCAATTGGAGACATAAAGTCATAACAGATTCTTACTGCTTGTCCTGAGTAAGATGAATAGCTGTCAGGATTCCTCGGTCTTTCTTATTAGAGCTGCCTATAAACCAAGATAACATCACATGCAAAAGAGAATGAAAAATCTAGGAATCAGGATTCTTTTGTTTTTGGCCAGAGATCATTGACTTAGTTCTTTCCTTGCCATTGGCGACTGACCCCACTTTTCAGTGGTGATGTTGTAAGGGTTCATGTTGGTAAGGAGATGGGATGGTGAGAGGAAGGGATTTGGATTCTTTTCTGTCAGTTTTAGGGATTGTGTTACTAACTAAAGATGACTGACATGTGGAAACTGACGAGGTCATCATTTGTGTGGGGGTCATCTTTTCCCTGGGTTATTATGGTAAAACCCTGACTGTTCTCCGTGCTTCCAGTCTTGCTTTTTGACCAGCGACCCTAGTGTGGCATCCAAAGCACCTCTTTGGTGTCATGCTATGCCACTCCCAAACCACCCTCTTCTGGCAAAAGCAAATCACTTGCAGTTCCCTGAATGCACCAGCGTCTCTCACCTCTGTGCCTCAACACCTACTTTTATTTCTTGCTTAGAACACTTCCTCGCCTTCATCTCTTCTTGAATTAACACTTAGTCTGTATTTCAGTGTTCAGTTCATTCATGAGCTCCTTCAGGAAGTTTTCTGCCACCCTCGCTTCCTTCATCTGTTATCTCCTTCAAGCTGTCCAAATAGCCAGTGCTTACCTCTAGTAGCAGTATTGTAATCGTTTTCTTACCGCTTATCCTCACTTTTTAAAAATTCTTACCTGACCATATTTTTTTGTTTTTTTGTGTTTTTTTTTGAGTTGGAGTCTCACTCTGTCACCCAGACTGGAGTGCAGTGGCCGCTTATGGCCACCGCAGCCTCGAGCCGCTGGACTCCGGCGATCTTTCCGCCTCGGCCTTCCAAGTAGCCGGAACTACAGGCGCGTGCTACCACGCCCGGCTAATTTTTTGATTTATTGTAGAGATGAGGTTTCATCAAGTTGCCCAGGCGGGTCTCGAACCCACGGGCTCAGGCAATCCACTCGGCCTCCCAAAGTGCTGGGATTACAGGCTGAGCCACCGAGCCCGGCCACCTGACCATATTTTATACATTACATTATACACTATATACATTTTTTTATACATTAATTGGGACCATTTATGGCAAGAACAGATCTAATGATGATGGTAAAATATAAAAAAGACTAGATAATCCAGAATGGGGACAATTAAAATACCAGTAAAAACCAGCTGGATTGGGGATGGGACAATGTTGAGGCCATAAGGGCCTCCATAGATGATTTAGCTGAGCTCGGATTTGGCTCTGTCAGAGATCTAGCAGTCAGGGTGAAGGGAAACATTGTCACCAGAAAGGAACAAACACTCATTTCTAAAAGAAATTGGCATGTAGTTTCACAAAGGTGACACTAAGATATGTACAAGATCCTACGGGAAGTTAGTAAAGGGTTTCACGTGACTTTCTTGCAGTGTTTTTCAGTGAAACCAGAGCATATAACATTTTTTTTGAGTTGGAGTCTCACTTTGTCGCCCATATTGGAGTGCAGTGGCACCCTCAGGGACACCGCAGCCTCGACCGACTGGGCTCAGGTGATCCTTCCACCTCAGCTTTCCAAGTAGCTGGGACCACAGATGCATGCCACCACCCAGGCTAGATTTTTAAAAATTTATTTATTGAAGAGACGAGGTCTCGCCAAGTTGTCCAGGCTGGTCTCAAACCTGCGAGCTCAGGCAGTCCTCTCGACTTGGCTTCCCAAAGTGCTGGGATTACAGGCTTAAGCCACCACACCCAGCTGAGAGCACATAAGTAACATGGAATTAATGAAGGCATTTCTTTAAGGACCAAAGATAACGTGATGTAAGCATGTAGCCTTTATCATCCAGCTGAATTCAAGAATTTCTGCTATCTCAGTGTATGAATAAACTTAAGATCATTTTACAGCTATCACTTATCTCAGGTAGGCTTTTAATAAGAGGAGATAACAGTGTTGAATTTTTTGGTAACAGCCCAGGTTTCGTGAGTTTTTTATTGAATAGTCTTCCTCTCTGGACAACTTCTAAGGACAATGATTGTCTTTCCTTCTGATTCGACGTACCCGCTACATACTATTACTTGGTAAATATTTATTGAATGAATGGCTATAAGTAATTCAATTCTGATAGTGCTTTGGGATTGATGTTTGATGTTTATTTTACTATATTGCACCAACTACACAGAAAATAATGGAGTTTCATCTAGACCAGGATTTTTTTTAAGTGGCAATATTGACATTTGGGGCCAGATAATGTTCCTCTGCACTATAGAATGATTATTAGCAGTATTTCTGGCCTCTACTCACTAGATGCTTGTAGAACCCCCAGTTGTGACAGCTCAAAATGTCTCTAGACTAGGTGCAATGGGTCATGACTATAATCCCAGCACTTTGGGAGGCCAAGGAGAGAGGATTGCTTGAGCCCAGGAGTTCAAGACCAGCCTAGGCAGCATAGTGGGGCCTCATCTCTACAAAATTAAAAAAGTAAGGCAGGCATGATGGCATGCACTCGTAGTCCCAGGAACTCGGGAGGCTGAAGCAGAATTGCCTGAGCCCATGAGGTCTACGCTACAGTGAGCCATGAATGTGCCACTGCACTCCAGCCCGGGCAACAGAGACTCTGACTGAAAAAAAATTTTTTTTAAACTGTCTCCTGACATTGTAAAGTTTCCTACGGGCGGGTGGGGTTGAATGACAAAATTGTCCCTACTTAAGAACCACTGATTTAGACCATGGATCCCCAGAGACTGGAAAGGGAGGGATCGAATAGCTTCAGAATTGCATTTTCTGTATTTTTATTTGTTCTTTAAACCATGAACATTTAAATAGTTCTAAAAGAAAGAAAAATTGAAAGTACTGTCAATTCAAAGTATAGCAAGGGAACAGGATGCAGATGGTGGACATTGAGTAAACTGGTTGACTTTTTAAAAAAATTTTTTTATTTTAAAGATGTGGGGTACAATTCAGGGTTTGGTTGGCTTTTAAAAAGTAAAGGCAGCCGGGCTCCGTGGCTCAGCCTGTAATCCCGCGCCTTTGGGAGGCTGAGGTGAGTGGATTGCCTGAGCCCATGGGTTCGAGACCCGCCTGGGCAGACGAGACCTCATCTCTACAATAAATCAAAAAATCAGCCAGGTGTGGTAGCGCATGCCTGTAATTCGGCTGCTTGGAAGGCTGAGGCGGAAGGATCGCTGGAGCCCAGCAGGTCGGGGCTGCGGTGGCCGGGAGCGGCCACTGCACTCCAGTCTGGGTGACAGAGTGAAACTCCAACTCAAAAAAAAAAAAAAGTAAAGGCTATAACTGAAATATCAACCTAGAGAAAATTAGGTATGGCTTAGCAATTGATTAAATATTGATAGTAAAGTGATCCCAACTGTTGAAGTTTTTAGAAGATTAAGTTCAACTTGACTGCTTTTCTGTAATGAAATTGTTACTTTTAGAAAGTGTCCTTTTTTTCTTGTAGTCCCAAGTAGCTGGGACTACAGGCATGTGACACCATACCCAGTTAGTTTTTTTTTATTTATTGTAGAGATGAAGTCTCGGCCAAGTTGCTCAGGCTGGTCTCAAGCCCCTGGGTTCAGGCAGTCCTCTCGCCCCCACCTCCCAAAGTGCTCGGGTTACAGTCATGAGCCACTGTGCCCAACCTACAAAGTGTGCTTTTAAAATGCTCTCTGAAGTGGAAGGATCATCTGAACCCAGTAGGTTGAGGCTGCAGGTGGCCACTGTACTCCAGCCTGGGTGACAAACAGTGAGACTCCAACTCAAAAAAGAAAAATGCTCTCAATGATTTCTCCTGTAGCTTTGTTTTTAGTTTTCCTAATTTATAAGCAAAATGACCAAAGCTCAAGTATACCATGAAGTTAATTCTTTAATATTTCTTCCCCCAGGAGCTCTCTTTAGCTTCTGTAGACCTGTGGTTTGATGATGTGATATAAGTAGATGCTTATTTTTTAAAAAATCCTTGAGAGTAATTGATACTGTGCTCTTAGAGCAATGTCAGCCTTCTAATGTCTGTCTTACAGGACAGGTAAGAAGTATTTCTTGCATATAATGAGGTCTCATGAAGACAGTGGTGTTTTGGAACATGCAGAAGCAATCATTTGCTTAGTTACTGGCCATAATAATTTTATTGCTATAGACCAGTGACTGTGATCTGTCTCCATTCCTCCTCTTTTTTTTTTTTTTTTTTTTTGAATCAGGGTCTTACTGTGTTGCCCACACTGGAGTACAGCGGTATGTTTATGGCTCACTGCAGCCTTGACCTTCTGGACTCAGGCAATCCTTCTGTCTCAGTCTACTGAGTAGTTGGAACTACAGGTATGCACCACCATGCCCTGCTAATTTTTAAAATTTTTTTATAGAGACCAGGTCTTGCTATGTTGCCCAGGCTGATCTCAAACTCCCGGACTCAAGCAATCCTGAACTTGGCCTCCTTTTAAAGTGCTGGGATTGTAAGCATGAGGCACTGTGACCTGCTTCCCCCTCTCTTATAATTATTCTATCCCTTTCTCCGATATTGGGGACTTGAGGGGGAGGGGAGACACATGACTTGTTTTCTTACTTGTCTCCATGCTGAGGAACTCACCTGAGGATTTTCATCCATATCCACATCTGGTGTAGATGACAAGATCCTGGGCTTTGAGCCAGTGATCAAATGAGACAAAGCTTTTGGGGAGGGGGTGTAAATTGTTGTGACCAGAGGGTGGCAAGAGAAACAAGTGATGGGGAAAAACTTCTAGCCTCATCATTTTTCACAATCTTAGAACTGCACAATCTTAGAACTGCAAGGCCGAAGGCATGCAAGCTGGGGTGAAAGGGCTCTTTGGTAGGGTGTGACATTGAAGACCCAGGGAGAAGTAAACAAAGGAGGAAAATGTACTTTGCCTGCCCAGGAGAGCCTGCACTCTGTTTCTGTAGCCCTACAACATGGACTATGCAAGGTTTTGTGTAGACATAAGTCTCAGCTCCTTGGTATAAATACCAAGAAGTTCTATTGCTGAATGATATGCTTAGTAAGAGTATGTTTAGTTCTGTAAAAAACTGCCAAACTGTCTTCCAGAGTGGTTGTATCATTCTATACCTTCACAAGCAATGAGTGAGAGTTCCTGTGGCTCCACTTCCTTGCCAACATTTGGCTTTGTTGGTGTTCTGGACTTTGACTATTCTAATAGGTGGGTGGTGGTCATATGGTTTTTTTTGTTTTTTTTTTTTAGAATGGAGCAGAAACAGAAGATTGGCTCTGATTATTTTTGCAAGATGGAAATTCCATTCTGAACAACTGACTTACTGTTTATGCTTGAATCTTTTCTTATTTGGGGCTATTAATAACTTTACCAGAGCAAACAGGTTTGAGTGATAGATTTGCTGATAGGCTTGAGTGCTGCTTTGAAATACAGACTTGAAATCTAGATTTAGCTACATTAAGAAGGCAGCCACTACAGGTAAGTGTCTAATCCTGAAAACTCTTAAAACAATGGTGGAGTCCAACCCTGTTAGCAAAATCCTTGTGTTAGAGAGTAAATCTCAGATCACTGTTACCCTCGTATTAGGCCTTGGGCTAAAAGGAAGGCATTTTTAATACTTATTGCAGGCCAAACAGTGCCAGGCCATGTCATATAACGTTATCGTATCTAATCATAATTTCCCTGTGAAATACTTTGTATTATCCCCATTTATAATTCCTCAAATACCCAACTTGGTTTTTTTTCTAACCTTCCCAATCTTTATATATGCTACCACTCTTTTTTTTTTTTTTTTTTTTTAGTTGGAGTCTCACTCTCACTGTCATCCAGGCTGGTGTGCAGTGGCACACTCAAAGCTACTGCAGCCTCAACCTGCTGGGCTCGGGTGATCCTTCCGCCTCAGCCTTCCAAATAGCTGGAAGTGCAGGCGTGCAGCACCACACCTGGCTAATTTTTTGATGCATTGTAGAGACAAGGTCTCGCCAAGTTGCCCAGACTGGTTTGAACTGGGCTCAGGCAATCCTCTTGCCTTGGCCTCATAAAGTGGGATTACAGGCGTGAGCCACTCCTCTCCACCTCTTAATTAATAGAATTCCTACTTATCCTTTAGCACTCATCTCAGATATTACTCCTTTTTTTTCTTTGAGTTGGGGTCTCACTCTGTCACCCAGGCTGGAATGCAATGGCACGTTCACAGCTCACCACAGCCTCAACCTCCTGAGCACAGGCAATCCACCTGCCCCAGCCTCCCAAGTAGCTGGGACTACAGGCATGTGCCACTGCAAACAGCTAAATTTTTGTTGTTGTTGTAGAGACCAAGTCTCGCTATGTTGCCCAGGCTGAGATGTTACTACTTTAAAGAAGCCTTCCCAATGTCCCAGGCTGTTTCCCTATTATACCCTCAAAGTACACTGTCTCTCAATAGCATAAGAAACTATGTGAGTAGTTGTTTAATATTTGTCATTTCTGTTGAATGTAAACTCCATGAACATAGAACCTTGCCTCTTATATTTTCTGTGTTATTTGTAGTGCCAAGTATAGTTCCTTACATGTGAATGCTTGGTAAATAATCATTGCATAGTTATGGCAAATAAATGCCATAATCAGAAGTTGAATGCTGGTCTATTATAATTCCAATATCTTCCTTGAAATTATGCCATATACAGAACGTAACAGGAAGTATTTCTTGTGTTTCTTTTTTTTTTTTTTGAGTTGGAGTCTCACTCTGTTGCCCAGACTGGAGTACAGTGGCATGCTCCCAGCCACCGCAACCTCGACCTGCTGGGCTGCAGTGATCCTTCCGTCTCAGCCTTCCAAGTAGTGGGAACTACAGGCAAGTACTACCACGCCTGGCTAATTTTTGATTTATTGTAGAGACGAGGTCTCACCAAGTTGCCCAGGTGGGTCTTGAAACCGTGGGCTCAGTCAATCCACTCGCCTCGGCCTCCCAAAGTGCTGGGATTACAGGCTGAGCCACCGAGCCCGGCCAGGAAGTATTTCTTAATGAAATTACCCAAGAGGCTTTTCCTCAACTCTATTTCAGTTCTAGATCAGCTAACTATAAAAGTTATTTATTAATCATACATACTGGTTAGGGTGTGGTTCTGAGATAAAGTCTGACAAGTCCCCTCAGTTCTCAGTTGGATAAGCTTCAGCATAGATCAGCCTCCTCTTTAGAAAAGTTCCACCTGTCTGAGCAGCTATTTTTTAAGAAAGCTGATGAGAAAGGACATGTCCAATTAGGAAACTTTACAAGAGGTAGACAAATCTGCTGGTTTACCAGTGTTTCTAACTTCCTGCTGGGTTGAAAACTGCTTGTGGTGTGGAAAAGCAAAACTCGGCAACAAACATCTAAAATGAAGAGCCCCCAAACTTTTGAGGAACAAACAGAATGCATTGTGAATACTCTGCTCCATGACTTCTTGGGCTCACCATCGCAGGTGGCCAACCGGGACCTCTACTGTGAGGATGAACCAGATTCAGGTAAGGCTTCTGGCCTAAGGGGGAATTGCAGATCCCTCGGAGTTTGCTTTGTTTCCTTTTAAGTTTCAACAGGCAAACTGAACCTTTAGCAACACCTGAAGGGAAAGAGACTCCCAATGAAGGGAGATTTTCCGACTGTTGGCACTGACAGAACTTTGAAGTTCTTGGGAGAGGATGATACCAAAATTGCTTAAAAACTGGAGAATTTCTTGTTGCCCAGATTCCTGGGACTTGTCATCCCTTCAAGCATAGTGACAAATGTGTTCCCTCTGTCTTAGGAGAGCCTTCCTCTTTTGACGTGGTTATTGTTGCCGGTCGTCTTCGAATGTTGGGTGACCAAATCAACGAAGAACTGGAATCTTCTGCCAAAAGCATCATTGCAAAAACCATTCAGGGACAGGTCAAGTTTCTGTCTCCTTTATGTTAATGTTTGCTGCTTCTTAAAAAGTGTCAAACTTCCTTTTCTTACTGCACCTGTACTACTGTGACTAGGAATGTTCTGTGAAACATTTGGGAGCTTATATTCACCCAAGAAGATACAGCGGGAATTCTCTGATTGCCAATTTTGTAGTAGTTAATCAAAACCTACGTGGTATAGAATGGAAAGCTCGGGCATAGGCTAATCAGCCTCCGACCTGTCTCCACTCAGTTTCCATCAGAGCCGTGCTTCGTGTGCATGGAGTGTATTTACAGCACTTAATTCCCAGCAGAGTGTCTTTTGTGTATGTTGTAATACTTGTTTCGTTGGGGTGGGCATCTTCACCCCAGCAGCCCCAGGGTCCAGCAGTGAAGTAGCCACAGGAATGATGGGCAGTTTACAAGTCTGATGCAGTGAGGGATAAGCCCTGACAACCGTCCACTGGCTTTTTGCCAGAAGCTGAGCACTGGCAGAAGCACTGGGATTTGTACTGGATATAAAGACCATAACAATAGTGTTCTAGGAGATGATGCTGATTTTTATCAACAATGACGGCTAATGTTAGCTCATCCTGTACCATATGCCATTATCTCATGTAATCATTTACCCTGCAGGATTTATCACAGAAACTCTTATCCCTAGAGCAACCTCTCCCCCTCTGTCCATAACACCATGAGAGCAAACCTCTAAACCTGTTTTGCTCACTGTTCTATTCACACAGCCTAGAACAGTGCCTGGTACACAACAGGTTCTCAGTAAGTATTTCCTGACTTGATACCGTTTAAGTAGATAAGGAAACTGAGGCACAGGGAAACAAGAAATTAGGACACTCAGAAAGTGTTGAAGCTAGGATTTGAACCCAGATTGATCCCAGAACCACACTCTTCACTGGCAGGCGTTAGGCTTTAGTCTTTCTACTGTTCACAGCTTGGGTAGCGTGCCTACACTATATAGTCTGGAAGGACTGGGCCTGCTACTGCCCTTCCTGTTGCTTGCCCTGAGGCTGTCCTAGGTAGCTGGGAGCTGAGTCTACTTGTTTCTACCTCATTAAATATAAATAAATAAGCCAGGCTCGGTGGCTCAGCCTGTAATCCTGCGCCTTGGGAGGCTGAGGTGAGTGGATTGCCTGAGCCCGCAGGTTCGAGACCCACCTGGGCAATTTGGTGAGACCTCATCTCTACAATAAATCAAAAAAATTAACCGGGTGTGGTAGCGCACGCCTGTAGTTCCAGCTACTTGGAAGGCTGAGGTGGAAGGATTGC